TATATATATAAGGCTCTTACAGCAAATTATGTCTCAACATGATTCGAAGCTGACATACTCTGAAGATTCATCAAAACAAGCAAATTAGAGTACCCATATATATAAGAAGCTGGTGGCACCGGAATAAAGGGTTGTCACAATCAGAACTGCATCCAGGCCCCAAAAAATACAACGGCACTGTTTCTTATTTAGGTTAGTGTATGTTATTACCTGTAAATGGGGTCCATGAAGAATGGAGAAGGTTTTGCGTAGTGAAGAGGTGGCTGCTGCGGAAGAGGAGGCGGAGGAATTTTTGAAAGCATGTCATTGGACACCATTTTCCTTTCACCATAGATATGGTTTTTTCTAGATTCCCTAGCCCCGTTCTGACTGGCTCTACTCCTGTTACCAATACTGAGGTCCAAGGGTTGCTCCTCTCCGGAAGCCTGGGACACCGAAACCTTAGGTGGAATTAAGGCTGACTTAATCTCTTTTGGTTTGGTGGTGAGATCAAAGGGTGACTCGGAGCTCGTGCTGACAACTTTCTGAAGGTCCCTAGGAGACTTTGGTTCGGCCTTCATGACCAAGTTGTGATTTACTGTCCGTTCTGAGAAAGTTGGATATAAAGAATGGGGAAAATTGGGTAGAAACTGAAAGGGAAACATGGAATGATAGGGGAGGGAACCTATTTTCTTTTCTTGCATGCCCATAAATCCAGGTCCAAAGTATTTCTCTGCTATAGAGGCAATAGCTTTAATAGAGTCATTGGCTGCCCCCATTGATGGAAGCAGCTGCTCTTCTGGCGGAGGAAAAAAGGAATGTTGAGAATAGAAAAATGACCTTTCGCCAACATTATTGGAACTACTGGAGACAGAACTACTGACAATGTCTTGCTTGCTTTCTACAGATTTGTTTTTGTCTTTGTTTTTGTCTCTTTCACTGTCAACATCACTATCTAAATCAGATCCAGTACCAGTGGTGGTATCCAAATCTGTCCCGGAGGTGGTGTTGACGTCCTCAAAGTCACTTCCATCTGACAGGTCACTGCTCCTAGATTTATGTTTTCCCATGTATGAGTTTTCCATACTGTTCTCAAACTTTTCCTCCAATGAAAGCTGCTGATTGCTATTGCTGCTGTTCAGAGAGGTCAAAAGTGAGAGCTGAGGATTTCCCATTGGGCTAGGAAGCTTGGCTTCTCGAGTATGGTTCAAAGGGCCTTTTAGTAGTGGAGAAGGAGGTAATAAAGGTGGTCGGGGGTACAGCGATGGAGGAAAAATTCCTGGGAATCCAGGGCCCAATGCTGGAAAAGGATGAGGAGCGGGAGAAAATGGCAAACCACCTGGATGTGCCCTAGAAGAAAAGTAGTCATTGAAAGCAAGGCTAGAATGATTCATATTCGGAGAAGGTTTAGACTTGTCCATCAAAGAACTTGGTGTCAGGGGCATACCAGGGGCAAATATTCCACTGGGGTTGTAATGGTTTTTGCCTTCACAAAAGCGTCGGTGCTTGTTCAGGGAGGAGGTAGTGCTAAACATCTGTCCACAGTCCTTGCATTTAATCTGCGTACGGCAGTCGGCATGCATTCGTTTATGGCGACACAGGTTGGAGAACTGTGTGTACGATTTGTGGCAGACCTCACCTGGAACACCAACAGGAACCAAGACAAAAAAATTATCAAATAAACATAAATATGCAGAGGAAGGTCATACAGATGCTTACATTGGTTTATTGACCTTTAAATAGGCCACTTACTTTCACTGGAATACATTGCATAGTCAAAACTTTTTTATTTTTTTTATTTTGGATAGAGTAGAGGGGGTTAGAACCTTGTTGTCTGTGTTTCCACTATGTAGATTCATCTTCTCTATTTGTCCAGGGGACCATTGTCAACAACACAGAAAGTGATGGGAAATCTAAAACTTTAAAGTTGTCACAAGCACACCAGGTGAGGGGACATCTTCCAATGGGTGCACATATTATGCTACTATTGGTCAAAGAGGAGAATTTCCCTCACTTTGCATAGATTTCCTCTCACTTCACGTTGGCAAAAAAGAGTTTTGGATATACACACACTTTAGTGCTCAAAGCTGGGTGTCCTTCCCATTCCTAGGTTTCAATGGATCACACAATAAGTTGCGCTGACCAACACTAAGGGGTTGATTTATTGAAGACAAACAGGTTGCTCACTTTGCAGTGGAACTTTACCTTAGCTTAGTGATTGAGGTGAAACTTTGTTGACTTCCATCACCAAAACATGTGCAAGCTAAAATACTATTTTGGTATTTTTCCTTGCACGTGATTGGATATTTTTTGAATAGTGTTTTTTACCATATTCACTAAGCTAAGGAAAATGTTCCTTGCAATGTTAAAAAACCCTTGCAAAGTGAATAGCCTTTTCGCCTTTAGTAACTCAACCCCTAAAAGTCTGTTTAAGCTGTACTGAAGGTCTGAGGAACAAACCCCTTTTTGATACCCATTCCCTGCTGATGTGGTGTTTTTAGTGGAAATTTTTTTAAAATAGACATTATGATAAAAAATAGATATTTTTTAGATACATGACAAGATGTGTATTTGTTCATTCAGTTTGAAAAATTAGAAGTGTCATCTCTCTGCCAGACAACTAATAATGCTAACTTTTCAAGGCACCTATAGACATTAGATGGTTATCACCTAATCCCACTGATTTAGGTGGGAATTAAGGTTGATTGGGATGACTGTAGTCATTTTGAGACCTTATAAGAAATCGTAGATGATCAAGCTTGGCAGAACAGCACTGGGCAGTTTTTTTCAGGAAGTAGCTATAATTCCCCGATGACATCAATGACACTAGGACTGCCAGTTAAAGGTAGAAACTAATCTGCTTTTGCTTAAATATAAAGTATATTTAATTGTGAAGTTTACATAAACAGCAATCACTTATAATGATATTACTAAGAGGAATTGAATTAAGATATTAGTATAGAGACTTTTATTCACAAACATGGCATTCACTGACAAGTATATTACATTTCACCTCCATAGAAAATGTTAATTTTAAAGTTTAATTTTTGTCCAGTGTTAATCCCAAACCAAAACATTATCTTTTATTTCACAAATCAAAAAGCCATTCGTAAAAATTATAGTCTTTTAGTCAGTATTTCTTTCTCTTGTGGCCCCACACACTTGTTAAAACTGGGCTAAAATATATAACCCAGTTCCTTGACACACAGACATCCCAAATGTGTGATGCTGGACATAACATGAAGACCCATGCTGGGTAATTTATTAGCTTAGACACCGCACTATGTCTAAAATGCATGAAGAGCCTTGGTCCACTGCCCAGGATCTGCCGTTAGAAATGGTGGATTAACACGCTATGAAGTTCTAAGCTGCCAATGTACCGTGTCCTAAAGATGACTTTGCTTGCAGAAAATGATGACTGCATTATTCTGTGTTTATTTTTACTAAGAAGGAAATGTCATAGGGTGCTCGGTGGTTGGTAGAGGACACTGGGGTGAAAAGGAAGCAGTTAAATGGGCTTTATTGCTCACACCTGGCTCGCCTGCAATTTCTGGCGCTAGCCAACTGGTCAGCTGTGGTAGAGCTAAAAGGAAATACCATATTACATTCATAAAATTGGTAAAGTTAAAAAAAGAATGACTAGCTGAAGAGTGGGATCTGGGATCTGATATACAATGTCGGAAAGCCATGGAACTCTTTACCCCAACCTGTCCGTCTATCTTACACCTTGACTGCCTTTAGGCGATCCCTAAAGACTCATCTCTTCAGGGAACCCTATCCCACCTCAACCTAACCACTGAACCATTACATTCTCAAACTATTCATCCCCACACAGCTACCTCCTCATGTATCACTTGCCCCTCCCTTTTAGATTGTAAGCCCTCAGGGGCAGGACCCTCCTTAGCATCTTGTCTTGAATTGTATTGTAATTGTAATGTCTTCCTTATATTGTAAAGTGCTGCGCAAACTGTTGGCACATATAAATCCTGTATAATAATAATAATCAGACAAGGAGAAGAGTCGGCTATGGTCCTCACATGTCCACTTCCCTCCAATCTCAGATGACATGTGTTATCCTCCTCTAAAGAATTTGAAACTTATTAAGGAATCTGCCAAATCACAGAACATCACTGCCAATTTATTGACATCTGTGGAGACCCGTTAGCAAGCAGGACCTATTTAGATTCAACAAGTTGATTGTTTCTTCAAATGTTTCACCAAAACATTTTGTATTTTTTATGAAACTCACATAAATAGGTATCTGTGATTTGTGAAGCAGACAGACTAAACTTGGACATGTCACCCCAAATTGGCATAAAATGGTCCCTTTCTTACAGAAATAGTTAATAATTCCCTTTCCTGTGCTTATAGACATCCTTAAAGTGTAAGTCTGGGCAAAATAAAAAGAAACACATGTACACGTAGTACATCTCATATTTTCTTGCAAATGCACATTCTCTTGTAGTTTTAGATGGTTAACGGTATATGCACAGTTCCCTATATTTGATCCATCTACAAATGCTGGTCTGCAAGAGATCCATTGACCTGCTAACTTCTTGTTTGAGCTGGGAATGCTGCATTCGCTGCACTGAAATCCTAAGTCATATAGTCATTGTAGTAATAACCACCATATTTATAGTCTTACCTCCACTTTCCTGTTATAGTGGTTGTGCCGTGTCTAAATATGACTGTGCAGTCTAATAGACAATGTCAGTAATTAGCTTTCAGTAGCAGAGCTGGTCAGGCACACTCCTTCTCTTTCTCTCCAGTACAAGTCTGTATGAGGACACTTGTGATAAGGGGTGTGGCTGTTACTCAGCTCTGCCAGCACAAAGCTCTAGGGTGGGATGAAGTATTATTTTCACTAAGAGAAAATTATATTTTAAGGCATATGATAGCAAAAATTACTCACAAATCATATCAGGTAGGGGTACCAGACTATAAAGAGAAAAAAAAGTTGTGAGCCTTTGGGCTTTAAATGGCCAGTCTAGCCAAACATAATATTTCAGTTATAGACTGCGGATGGTGGGTAAAGTCAGTCCCTGGCTTCTGTTTTGTCTTGGATACTCTAACGGTGAGTTCTACATGATTCTTTTGCCATCATTCCTTGTCATTGAGGAGTGTTGGGTGTCTCAGGAACCTCAGTATAAAGAACTCATCAATAGAGACCTTTAGAAAGAGAAGAAACTATATGGTGGTTTAACTTAGCCCAGCATTCACCAAACACTAAAATATCCCTTTTGGGTGGACTGACTAATGCTGGGCTGTCCTTTTTTTTGCCTGCGGTTGGTTACTTCCATCCACCATAGTAAAGCTAGCAATGACCAATCAGAAAAAATTAATCTACAATCCTTTCTAACATAGGGCAGACGTATTTCTCCATTAAACCTGGGCCCTGAATGTGGATTAGCTGTGGTTCTCTACTTGGGTGGCTGCACAGGCTTCTCTTGTAATTTGCCTTGTGGTTTTTATGGGTTTTCTCAGGAAAATGAAGAAGGGATCTAGTTTCGAGCAAGATGACTTACATATGAAAGGTTTGACAGTGCTATGAATGTGCTTGTGCTGCTTGAGACCTGACGAGGTGGCAAAGGTTTTGCCGCAGTCAGGACAGGCGTGTGCTCTGGCTCCGACGTGCTGGGACCGGATATGCCGTTGGAGGTTGCTGGGGTCAGTGAATACCTGAAAAAGTTCACAAAACGAAAATGACAAACTCACAAATAATTCGTTAAAGATAATAAATACATGTTTCAGGGAAAGAGCAGACATAATAAACCAGATACTTCTGAATAAACACCCAACGAATTTATATTCCTGTAATAAATATGCAGGAGGAAGATGACCTGGCTGCTTGCTAAATGAAGCAGGGGTAAAGGGTAGCCTTGGGATATAGTAATGGGCTCACCCTTGTGACTATACAAAACTAAAGTCAGAGGCATTGAATCTTATCTAAATTGCTTGGATCTTTGGGTATTAAAGGTCTACAAGCGGACCTCCAAACAAACAGAAAAATACCTAGTTGAGATCCGCATCGGTTTACAGTTTTTATTTTTTATTTTGCTCAGCTCCTCTTGTGCATTCACATGCCTCTGTCTGGCTGCACAGCTTGGAAGATCTGATCACTAGCTTTAAGTTGAGATCTACGGAACCCTGAATTACCTTCAACCAGTTGGATGCAGGTGAAGATGGTTCATTGGGCAACCTGGAGATAGAGAGATAAGCAGCCGCATGGCTAAACCAGGAAATTAGTGTATCACCTGCATGGCTATGTTGTAAATCATAAGCCTTACTAAGCAGAGATCCTTAGACAGGTAAGTCAGTTCATACACTTTACATGTATTCCAACCGTGTATTTATCTGTTTGCTTTAAGTTCAGCTTTAACATTTTCTTGTACCTGGTTATCATTTATCATAACTATCATCTTTAATACTAAATAACAAGAAAACAGTTTTTGGTTTAGAAATGACCCTGCATTTTCGAATGCCCCGCGAGTGATAATTTTAGTTTTTTGGGCATTTTCAGATAACATATTTCCAACAACCGATCCCATACCTTTATACATGTAAAGAATGGCTGTATTATGTGATGATTGTGAGTGTGCCATGGTGTTCATCATTCACAATAACCATTTATTAGCACTAGCATAATAAAACATAATGATTCTTAACTGTAGGTTCAAAGATACCCCGAACTTTTGTTCACCAAGCAGTGACTGTTGATCAAGGCACACTTATAACAGTTACAGGTACAGTGCCTGCGTTGCCAAGAGTATTTAAACAGTTTTATGCATACGTTAAAAAAGGACTACATATAGAAACATGGAATGGTGCCAATGTAGTCACAAATTATGTCATACATTTGCCCCTGGTGCTTTTGTTTGTAACCAAAGATATGTCATAGCAGTGCTACGTGCCTTACGGTAGCAGCAATGGCATCAGAGATGACAAAATTAGAGACTGCATATGGCAGCTAAATACTATTAAATATTAGTATATGCTATGTGTAAGTAATTTTGTCTCTTGGCCTTCTATAGTATTGATTGGAGTACCTAAAGTCAATTTTTTTATTTTATTTTGTATAGAGTAGGGAGCAAAAAGTAAAAAGTGGCTTTAGATATATTAAAGTTTATCTGAAGCCAAAATTTTTGCTGTCTGCGTCTCCACTGAGGAGATTTCCCTTCACTTCCTGTCCTGGAAACTTAACAGAAAGTCAGAGGAAATCTTACCAAAGAGAGGAGAAATCCCTTCTTAGTCAGGAGTGCCTTTGGAGGATTTCTCCTCTATTTCTGTTCCAGTGACAATTGTAACATATTGGATTTCCAAACACTTTCTGTCTTGATGACTATGGCCACCATGACAAATAAATGGGTGAATCTACTCAGTGCACAGACAGCAATCAAAAGCTTCCATTTTTAACCCTTCCTCACTACATCCAAGACTAAGAGAAAAAACAATAGCTTTAGAAATACTTTGTCTTACTGATTAATGCTACTGACAACTGCTGCTAAAATCAATAGGTGCCCACAGTTAGAAAAGGCCACCCATGGTGCCTCTAGTTGCTGCCTAGGGACCAGACCTACCTAGCCTGGGATATGGGTGCATGACTTGGGGATTCTACTAGAAGCACCCATGGTGCCTCTAGTTGCTACCTAGGGACCAGACCTACCTAGCCTGGGATATGGGTGCATGACTTGGGGATTCTACTCCTATGTTTCCTTGGCAGTATGGTCACTATGCTGCCCATAGTGACCATACTGCCTTTTAATTTTCTACGTGCAGAGCATGAAAGGTAGAATGCAACTGGTTGATATGGCCAACAGTTCTAATTTACCTTTGTTTCTGTTTCCTTAAATTATTGTGACACTAAACTCAGGAGTTAAATCTTAAAAATGAATTCACGTTCCCTGTGTGTGTTGTAAAGTAGCCACCGCTCCAAGCTCGCTCCTGTGATGGATTACAATCTCACATTTATTTTACCAATTTGTATTGAGATTGTGGTCCATAAATGGGAGCAAGGCATGGGGAAGAAAAATAGCCCCCTCCAGAAGGAAGGAGAGTGTCAGCACCAATACAGAGATGATTTGATGATCTACAGCTGAGTGATACACAAATAAGATTATTAGTTAAGGTACTTGAATGTATTTCTAAGATTCAACAGCTGCGTTTAGTGTCACTTCAACTCTTGAAATGCAATAGTTCTCATACAGCACGTCAGCAAATGATTGGGATAGGGTACGGGGTTTTCAGCTCCTGGGAGCTTTACAAGCAAAATCAGAAACCAGGGACAGACAACATGGGAGGAGTATGGAGGGGGGGGGGTGTCCCTCCTTTTTGCTACAAAGTTGGACAGTCTTTCATTTGTCCTGGAAAGCTCCTTAATGTAATTACAACTCCTAACAACTTCTAATATGTCACACCTCCTTTTAGCAAATATAACTACATCTTATCCCATTTTTAACAAGCCACAAGTAAGTACATTGGCTTTGCGTGTGCATTGACGCCCAAGTAATAATCTATCTTTGCACCAAGTTAAATAAAAAAAATTTTACCCCAGTTTATCTTGGCCGGTAGAGAAAACTTTACAGTGGTTTACTAGGCAACCCAATCCACCACAGTAAAGTGGCATTTTAACCCATTTTGACGTAGCATTAGACAGCTGCCAAAAAAATATTTAATGGAACAGGAAGTTTTACAAATGACTTTTAACACTGAGGAAATGGAAACCTTTAGACAGTTAGTGACTTTTTGTTTGTCAGATCAGAATATCATAAAGTATATAACACACACACCTAAAGTTCAAACGCTTAAAGTTTCTGGAAGCCGAGAATCACATTTCTTTTGGTTGTTGACACCTTCATTCTAACTAGGGGGAGAGACATGCAGGACTGTTTTTTTCTTTCCAAAGGAAAACATGTTCTTGTTGCCCCCAGTGACCAAAGACTCCCCTCTACTCCTAACCTACCCTGAGGATAAAGTGGTGAGTGGCTACTTGGCTTCTATGGCCACTTAAGTCCCATTGATGCTAGACTGAAGCATTTCTGAAGAAGGGATTTTAGTTGCTCTTAATAGCAATAAATGCATTTGGAATTTAGTTGATATCCTTATTTGTCTGTCCCTAGTTTTTATAGATAAAAGCTTTTGAAATGCATTGGTTTTCTTCATTCTGTGTTCTTCCTAAGGAAGAAACCTTGAAAGCTATGTAAAGCCAACATTTGTTTTTAGTTTTTGATTGACTGTGGAAGGGTAGGAACATCTGTCAGGTTTTTATAGTTATCTGTGTACCTACCATAGAGTCTACTCTCTCCATTGGTTCTAGAGACCATTGTCTCTGGTACAAAGAGTGATGGCAAATCCAATTTTTTAAGTTGTCACATGAACAGGAGATTAGGGTAAATCTTTCAAATGGAAAACATATTCTGGTGACAACTGTCTAAGAATGGATATCCCCTCACTTTGGAGGGATCTTTCCTTACTTCCTACTGTGTCTCTGCAACGGAAGATGAAGGGGAATCTTCCCAACAGGATATGCACCAAAAAAAAACCCTTTACCTACTGAATCCAAAACTAAAACCAAAGGTTTTGGCTTTACCTATACTTTAAGTTTTGTTTTATTTTTTAAATTGAGCTAGCAAATAAAGGTTATCTCTAAAATTTCAAACTTTCTGCTTTCATTAGTGGCTAACACAGGAAAAGTGCCCTGCTACTCTACTGCATGAGCAACCCCATCATATTGTGCCATAATGTTAGTGCCGTAAGGAAGATATTATTCGTCGCCTCTGGCTAAACAATAATATTTTATCTTTTTAATATTTTTTAGCGGTATTATATTCTTGCTCTATATCTAGACCAAGAAATAAATCCTTACAATTATACCTCTGGCTCCATTGACATTGTCTGGAGATGAATTACGGAACAAGTTATGTACCACCATGGAGCCATCTAGCCATCACAGCTTAATGAAGCTCGCATGCTTCACATGTGATGATTCTTTAAGCTATGACAGGAAAACCAAATGCCTATAGCCTACTTTTGTTTACTTACTACGAGTTTCATAATGAAGGGATGTTTGGAAAATGAAAGGTGTTGACTACCACACATTTCACCACCTAAAACACAACTAATTCATATCTGACCATTCCACTGATTTATTCTTTTGGTGAGCTGGTTTCTTTTTACTTCAACCTGTCCAAAGTTCCCCAGTGGGTGGTGGGTACCCAAGGTCTCAGAGCAGGCTTCATTCTTTACCATTATTTCCAAATTTGCTACATCATCAAGAATTTAAATGATTGTAAGATCCAGTGACAAGCTTACCCAACTTGTATATATTCAGGTTCTTACAGTCATTTCGCAGCATGTATTTAAAAAGCTAAAGGAAGAATCTGGTTTCTATGGGACAACACAGACAGTTACCCTTTTAGATACATATGCGTGCAATGTCCTGCACAACTCCCCCATCTTTCTACTGGTTCCCGAGAGGGATTTTTGTTCTAGGAAAAAAGTAACACTATAGATCTGCTGGACCGACAGAAAGACCATGCCACCAGAAACTTTGCGCTTGTGACTGTGTGTGGTCGTGCAACAAATGTAACTATGCTGTGACACTGACGTCTACTTTAGGTGTGTGAGGTTCCGCTTCAGTGTTGTTGTTGCAGTTCAAATATATGGGTAATCTGGAAGGAAGATCGCTTGGGAACCAGGAATCGTTCTGCAAAGGACATACGTGAAACATAGATCATTCCAAGCGTCAGCCTCAGCTCACACGTTGAGTGACATGACAGTGACAAAAAAAAAAAATGAAAGTAACCAATGGGTACCTTTACGCAGTTCTCACACTCAAACCGCTTGCCGCTGTCATGTGACATCTGATGGCGAATCAGGTTGGATTTCCAGTTGAAGGCCTTAGGGCACTGGTCACATTTGTACTCCCGCTCTTCTGTATGAATTATCATATGCTGTTCCAAGCTGCAAGATGGACATGGTTTGCCACAAGTAATAAAACTGACAAATGGTATTAGTGCTTCGTCACATGCTCATATTGTTTTGGACTAGAAGCAATTGGTTCTGGCCTCATTGACCCACCATTTTTTATAAAGTTCACGATCCGCACATAATTATTTCTGGTTTTTGAATTTTTATTAAAGGTTAACCAAGCAGTTGGTCATCAACCAAAAAGCCATGGCAAGTTTCACACAAGATTGTGCTAACCCATAACAGCCTTTTGATTAAAAGTATATGTGAACTCTAACAGTAAACTTTATTTTGCTTGCTTTTGGTCTGTTAAATATACCACTGAAAGTGTTCTATTTGTATTTACATTCCACCATAACAGTAAGTGTTTAACGTTTTGTAGTGAGCTGAAAATCTCAGACATTGTTATTCCCCCTGAACTTCAATACAGCTGCCCAATATGTCATGAAGATGAGGAGAGAGGAGAGGGGAGGTGTTATGTTGTCCTAGCTCACTTTCTGTCCTAGGTTTAACCTAGGACAGGAAGTGTGTTACTGGCAGGATCACCTGAAAGCCTGAATACAAAAACTAATACCGCCACCACATCTAAGGACTGGTAAGCTACAATGTATATCATTTTTTCTTGGGTTTAGATATGCTTTAGCCATAAAGCTCTTTGGCCTTGAATACATTTTCTAGAACCTGCAGGACGTGTGATCATGAATTTGATCAAACTTGTGAGTAAGTCTTGAAAATTTTAATCCAGCACTAGTGCCAGGGAGGAGGGCAGCTGGTTCCCAGAGGGGCAGCAGAGCTTCTGATATAAAGGATTATCATTACACCATAGTAACAGCCAGAATGGTAGAGGCCCTAAAATATTTGAATTTTAGTTTCTTTTGATCTCAGGAATATGAAAGACTCTTTGTAAAGGAAAAACACAGATACCTTCTGAGCTCCCAAAGAAGAGGAACGCTGACCTGCTGGCACTTTGAAAAGAGGAGGAAAGAGAGTGTACATGGGTGTTGGGATGATTCATGGGAAGGGTTTGCCTACCAAGGCATGGGGGGAAAAACAAAGCTGCAGCAGGTGGCATAACTGGTTCTTAACTAGCAAAAAAGTTCCCATGAAGTGTACTAAGAGACAATAACACATTCCAAAAGACCACTATGCTCATTGCCTTATTGAAATCTACATCTTGATTACAACATGTTAGCATACAAGAATGTAATTAATGAGCAGCCACTGTATAAGACAACAAATAAGTCAGTAGCTCAATACAGGTTAAAGTCCAACAAACACATACTTTTCTTTCCAACTAAAACCCATTTTCCTTACTGGAACAGACAGGAACCCAATATTATCCTGCAGGAAAGAAAAGTCTATAATTTGACCTAGAATGTTGGTAGGAAGGGTCAAGTGGATTTGTGACAGCGGAGATAATTGAAGAAGGCAAACGCAACATAAAAGCTCTGCTTAGTTCAAGTACTCTAAATTATTCCTCTTTATGTGCATAGCTAAGAAAACTATATAAGATTATAACAATCAGACCGTTTATAACTTTACGACCTAGTAATGAGATTGTATATGTTTCCGAAAAAAGGAAAGTGGAAAAAATTATATGGAAGTATTAAAGGGTAATTTTTTATTTTTCTTAGAATGAAATATACAGTATTTTGTGATCATTATGGTTATAAATTGTGTAAGGGTATTAAAAGAAAAGTGGAAAGAAATTATGGAGAGCTAAAAAAAAAGTAATTAGCTTATCATTTCCTTAAAAATAGGAGACCAGGAAAATGTTATGAAAGCACATACTGGCCACAATTTCCTTAATACCAGCTGGAAATGTTGGAGGTGTATAGGTCTACGTCTTTATAAAGTGTAATGGAATGTTATTATGACCAAGCACACAAGTCCAGTGGTCAGGTCATTGATAGTGTTTGACGTTGAGTGTTGACTGACAGCCAGGAAGCCCAGTACCGAGCTCTTGCATGCACACACATGGCTATATTCACACAGGCCCAACACCTTGCTGGACAAGAGTGTGCAGCATCTCCAGCTTGGGTCATCAATGCAGCCTGCCCTATTTATGTAGAAAATATACACTACATGAGCTGTCAATATCATCGAAGGCATTCGACATATTAGTAACAAATGATCTATAGGCCATTTACCCAGTTAGAAACATTTGCAACATTTTATAAAGTTAACAGAACGTGTTACATTCTACAATGCCAGATTATTATTGTGTTGTGAGATCTTGGAACACGTTTTTTGGTGAGCGCAGAAAATCTTCTTTCGGTTTACAATGCATCATGGTCATGTCCAATGGTCAGTCATGTTGGTGGTGTTGTAATCTATGTATGGCATGTAATAGAACTGCAAAATTATCATATCTATTGGTCGGGTCATACTGGAAGTGTAATGTTTCCTGTCTGTCTAGAGTGTAATATAACTGCATTATGATCATGTCCTGTGGTCAGTTATGTTGAGGGTGTAGAGTTCTATGTGTATAGTGAAATAGAACAAACTATTCTAAGAGATCAACCCGCCCTCTTCGGCTCAGTATCAGAAGCCGCTCTTTCAACACAGAAGAGAACACACTCACTTTTAATGTCTTCTTCTTAGGTACTTTTGCAGCATTATGGCTTCAAAGCATAATCAAGTAGCAATCAATGCATTAGGCCTGATTTAATGCGTACAAGATCACCCTCAACAGCAGAACATGCCAACAGATGACCATCCAAATACATTGATACATAACTCAGTAATATATAGAATGGTACATACAAGTACCAGTGACCGTTGTTTGCTTTGTCCATATGATCTTACCTGTATTTGTTAGGAAAGAGGCGCTCACAGTCTTTGCACTCGTGTACTTGTTCATTATCGAAACCCTCTTGCTTGATCTCCTCGCTCAGAGACTCGTAGATGTGGTTCACCGTGTTGCAGGCATACTTCTGGTGCCGCCTCAAATCTAGTTTGGACTGGAAAAGTTCGTCACAGTCTTCACAGCGAAATGTGTGTTCCTCTGTAGTTGAAAGAAACATTGGGGGAACATAAGCCAAGCAGCGAGAGACCCTGTAACTTGACCAATGTATGGGAAATTTACAAACATCTCTTCATCGTCTCACACCCTCCTCTAATTTTAGGTAATTTGAAAAAAAAAATGAACATCTAAATCACATTCATTGCATGGCTAAGAGGGGGATGCGTAACATTTTTATAACTTTGGTCCGGCGTTCACATTAGCAGAGACAAGACGTAAGACTTTGGTTGCATTGTTCGGCAAAACGGGCTTCAGACAACAATTGCCGATCAAAGCTAGAGATAAGAAGCCGCGTAGGGAGAAAACATTAATAGCATAATATATACAATAAATGATTATCACCAAGGTCAAACAAATTCACATAAGGGCAGCTGTTAATACGTTTATGAAGCAGCATCCTGACTGCGGTGCCAAGTTAAACAATTGGGTCCCAGTTGTAAATACTCCAAAAATACAAGTTTTTTTTTTTTGTAAGGAGCTGCAGGGATGACGGGTCTCCTCCCGCTTACCAATTGAGAGAACAGGAGCTCCTTAAGGCATTTAACTATTTTGCACTTAAAACATCTTTCTGCAATTAAACGTTCATTCCTATGCAAACAGCTTAGAGCAAACTTTCGGCATGTAGCTGGGTTCATTAACTCCCAAGGTAGAGGGTAATTAAGATTTTTGGTGTGGATGTATTGATACTGGCAAGCGTGCCACTCGGTGCTGGCACAGAGAAAGTTGTGATAGCAGCATTTCAGCATCTTAGTCCCTGCCCGGCTACCATCTATTTAACTACTGTTCTCCATTCCTGTGGCCGCAGGGCAGTGGGCTATGAAGCATGCCATAAATTAGGAATTCAGCACTCAAGAGGCTAAACCTATGCAAACAACCATAAGGACATCATAGCTAAACACATAATACCATATCACAAACAACAAAATAACGCATTGCTAATGAATTAAGTCCCATAAATAATGTGTATTGCTGTTATGAGCGCCGTGTAGCCAACACTGACCAATTAAAATGGAGCTTTAATTAAATAATTTTTAGGAGAGCCAGCCTATAAAAGAAGCTTTATACTTATATTTCCGGTGGGCGGTGAGCTAAAGCTTCACTTTCTTGAAGAGCTGTGGGCGACACTACAATCCAACACTTCTGGGTCTGTCAGATAGTGTGACCCCTGCTGGCTGCTGAGGTTCTTTCCACCAAAAACCTCCAAAATACTTACATGGTCACCTCACCTCCATCTCAAGGGGAGTAGCAGCATTTCATCAAAGACAATGATTGACTGAGAGTGTCATTCACTTACTAAAGCATTCTCTTAATTCACTAACATTATCCACACATTGGCATCCCTAGCCTTTATGCTGCCTGAGGTGGTGGGGGGATATGGGAATGCCAGCCTGAGCATCCCTCTCAGTTCCTGGCAACCACTGATGTCACTGGTTGCCAGGAGCTGGGCAGGAAACCTCGCCAGAGAGTCCCAGGTTGCTAAGAGCTGGGCGGGGAGATGTGTATGTCCCTTACACATCTCTCCGCCCAGCTCTTAGCAGCCTAGGATGCTCTGGCCAGAAAGGAGGCGGCAGGCACACTGCAAACATTGTGCGGCCATGCAGCTCTGCCTACCAAACCTCCCCCACCCCAAAAAATAAAGTAATGCCGCCTAAGGCTACAGCTTTAGGTGGCCTCATTATAAGGACAGCCCTGTCCATACACATAACAATCTGACCATACAGACTTTGCACTTAGGACTTACCACAACTATGTAATATGGGGACCAACCTCAATTACCAAATAAACTGTATGCAATCAGGCAGAGCCTTGTACTACATAGTTGTTCGAAGATAAAAGAGATTGTATATTTGGATTGCAATGTGTGTGGTAAGCTTAACATATGTAGCATTTCACGTTGCAAAGTGAACATGGTCTACTCTTTTAATAAATCAACCCCGCTATCAGAATGTCATTCCTCGAACCCATTTGGCACAGAACACATGATCAGTTGTCAGGAAGCTATATACAGCACCCTCCCAGCAGCCATGGTCTGCCTGCATTAGATAAAGAAGCACAAGGACCCAGTGATAACATCACTGGGTCTAAAAAAAAAAAAATGTATGTAATGAAAATGGAAAGGTTTTACATAAAAAAAGAAATAGCCCATTGATGTTGGGGGGAAGGCAAAATATAAGGAGATTAAACTACAGCTTTAAATGTTATTAAAAGATCTCTGTCTGGTAGTTTATATTTGCTGATCCTTTACACAAACCCCACAAGGTGGAGTAGAAAGGAAAGAAACACAAAAAATACTCAATGTTTTGGGGAACTGTAATTGCCATACCGAAATGTCAGCTCATCATTGTATTACGGAGGGACAAGGTTTTTAATATCTTTACATGTTAATTTCACACTAAACGTATTCATTTAATTATGAATGTCTATAAGGAAAGAGACATCAGCAGCTCCTTTTGTCTCTCTGTTATTACTTCCCAACAGGATGTCCAGCAAAAAGCACAATAATGGGAATTCCGTCCCTTAGGTGATCACTTGAGTTAAATTAAGAAGCTGGGAACCTTCAAGAGTTTCTATTGTGCTTGTATTAACTATTCATAACAGCTTCTCAACCACACAGAAACGTTCTGCACCTTAAGTCCATCAATGTAGTTTGAGATTTATCATGCACAAATGTGCATATACAGTATATATATATATATATATATATATATACACACACACACACAGGGCCATGCCTCCAATTGAGACCAACTTAGGGATGGCCATACTGCACACTCCGTCCTCAGTGCAGGTCAGTAGCTCTGAGCCTGAATAGATAATAGGCTTAGTGTTACTGGGTTCCCTGCCCAGCCACTGTGCACAATTGTCCTGTGTATGTTCAGCATCATTGGTTGTTATGGTGCAGGTAGCCATATAGTATATATTGCTTTATAAGTGATAGTCCAGTTATACATGAAGTCTAGTGGTGTGGGTCACCCACATCTTGCATCTCCTGGGCACTCTAATAGAAAGATACACTTGCCATTAACACTGTGTTGCTCACAAGCTTACAGTTCTGGGTATTCCCACTTTGGGAGGTTTTCACTCTTTCTGTTGAATTTAGAATACAAAATATGTACAACAACAAACCCTGGTAACGGCCCCAGCAAGTGTGTCAATTCACAACCCTCTACCAAAATCTGCAATACTGCTTTTGGGTGGACTGGTATTTTAAGGAATTTGTAGTCCACCCGGCAAAATGAGTCTGTCACAATCGCTGATGTAATGCTTTCCAAGCTAACAAATTCAACAATTTAGAAGTTGGATGAAACGTTTAGTGTAGTGTTTTTTTTTTAAAGTCTTTACATCAGAAACAAAATAGGGACAAATGAAGAGTAAAGACAGACAATTGGTTGCAAAAATTAGACAGTCTATCCAGGTGAGGAAGAGCTGGGAGCAATGCTGTAGGCCACCGAGTGAATGTTCCAGCATTGTAGTAGATGCAGAAACTCTAAAGTTGTATCAAAAGACCATATTATGCTCCTAATAACATACAGCTATCGGCCTAGTACTACTATATTGAGTAACACCTTTGTTGAAATGATAGTACCAAACCTGTGGTCTGGACAGGGGCTATTAACCTTGAGAGTCCAGCTATCTTGGGCCTACAACTATGTGGCCAACTCTTCAGCGTTGATCTGTACAATCATCAGGTACATATACTGTATATAGATAAAGTAATGAATCTTTCATCTGGTATGTTTTACATGGGGTTTTCAATATGTACAAAGGTCTTAAAAAGAACTAGTTAACTTTTGATCTACACAAGTCTACTGTGCTCTCAGTTGATGAGAGATGCCTCTCCTCTGCCCAAGTCCTGGGAAGCTTGGTGAGTTCCAGCACACATGCTTGGTTTGGGGTTGTGGAAAAAGAAAGCATTTATCTGACAGTGAGGTCATTACCTCGGTACCAGCATGAAGGCCAACTCTCTCTCTGGGGTTAGTTGCATTTACATAATCATATCAGCATTTTGCAACCCCTTGCACTGACAGATGCTACATGCTTTTTAAAGTGACTGGTTCACTTTGTAAGAGAATCTTCTAAAGCGAGCCTTGGACAAATATGGCCGAACTTCATTGCAAACAATGTTGCTGAAAGATCCTTTATATTAGACAGTTATGGGTCTGTCAGATGATGGCATCCCTTGCTGTGTCCTGTGGTTCCATTTGTTGGTTCCTTTATCATGACAGGACACAGGGGCTGGTGGATCGAACAACAGAGCTCAACTAGGGACCAGGTATCTAAAACTCACGTAAGTGTGCCAGATACTTAAAATATTTTAACAACATTATCTCTGTAACACAGGTCAGTGGTGCGAGCAGCAGGACATGTGAATATTAATTGCTTATTTGTAGGGAATGCCAAAGTTCAACTATTATAAATAGCTATAGAGTAACTTGAAGATTTAGGCTGCCCCAGTCAGTGGTGGACTTCACCAAGGGGCCCCTGTAAAAAGACAATTTGGTCCCCCTCTCCTATTTAACCACTGCCCAGGTACAAACATGTGTGCCCTTCATACAGAGATAAATAGATAAATATGAAAAGTAGACATTACAATGCCCTAAAATATCTCAAAGTTCAATCATTGCAATTAGGGTGAGACAGGAAGCAATTTATTTACCTAAATGGTAAGGTCTCAGGGATAATCGGGCAGGGGTTGACACTACCTGGATATTACAAACCAGGAGCATGGACAGGGCATCATGAAGAGTGCCATCATGACAGTGGAAGAAGGTGCCAGCAACTGCCCAGCGCATGTCTAGCACACAAGTTCCAGAGGACCGTTGTGCAGCTGTACATGGTACATGGTATGTCTGCCCCTGGCTCTAGTATATGGGGGCTCTGTCTGGTCCCAGAGAATGGACCAGAGAGGACTCCCATATTCTACTGGAGCCAGGTTCACAGAAGTAGATGAATGACTATCTGCTTTTAATTCTAAAATCTTAGACAAGCTCAGCCCACTCTTACATAAGGAAATCTAAATGTTTACCAATATTGAATTGAAATTATCCAATATTGAATTTGTGAATATGCATTTTCTGAGATAGTGAAGGTTCCCTTTATATATAACTGTCCTCTGTGATATACATAAGCTGCTGTTGTTGGCATCCACTTAAGAATGCTTGTTGCCTGGCTATGTTGCCTCAATGCTTTTGAATCTCTGGCTTGGAACAATTATGAAGTAAATAAAATAACATTTGGAGAAAAGTCAGAATTGCTTATCTCTTGCTCTGGGTCAGTAACTCACAAAGCATTAAGGTCAAGCCACTAAGCAGAGAAAAAAGGTCAGCTGTGGTTGCCTTCCAATTTCTCTCATGACAGGTGTACCTTAATAAAAATGTATTAGGTTTATTAAAATAATTAACCACATATAATTGTACCACTCCAGTTGGATTGGACTTACACAGATAAAATCCATATATATATATATATATATAAAAAAAGCTCAGCATAACTTCAAAACCAGTTATCAGAACGTGGTTCCACTAGCTGCATCAACTAATTGCCCCCACTTCCTTGAAGACAGATTAAAAGGCTTGGAGATTAAAATGATGCAGTTGAAACGCACTTCTCAAATTCTACGTTCCTGGGTTTCAAGCCATTACAATTCATTTTAAGGTACCTAAAGCCCATTCAGAAGGTGATTCTTTCCAGTACAATGGAAACTTCAGAGTAAAAAGGAGCTGGTTAGTCCTTAAATATCTTGAAAAAAAAAGAGTCTTGCCGGAAAAGCCTTGTTTGTCAAATCTGTGGTTGCCACAACCTTCTATCTAAAGTTCCATCAGCAACACGAGGGACAATAGAGGAATGTTACTGCAAAAATAAATCGACTCCTAATAGCTTTCAGAAGAACCAAGGGGAAAGCAATTATATAGCATCTACATGCTAATCTTCCAGAATGGAGTCTCAGAGGAGTTCAAGAACCCTACTCAAAATTCCAACAGAGATAAGGGTCTAGTGCATTTGGCTTTGGTTGGCATAAAAGATTTTTTTGGGATAATTATCTATGTGCTGAACATTTTTTGCATTTGCTTTCATGTGCAATTCACAGTTTAACCGGGCAGAGATGTATTTATTTGTGGGGAAGGGAAAAAAAACCCACAGCAATATGTTTGAAAGTCTGTCCCTTCTTCAATTAGGTAAAAGCCAGAAAAAAAATCCTTATTTTTTATGTTTTTATGTTAAGCGGACATATTAAGTCTGTTTTTGTAGGCACTTATCGTAAAATCTATTTTGGGCTTGAAAATTTTTGAGTATATTGCACTTCCATGAACTACGTGATATTTTAAGACTGGCCAGAGATAATAATTTTGAATTAAGTATTCATTGTCTGTTTTATTACTTTATCCCTGTACAAGTGGTATGATATTTTACACTTGACTCTCAGAAGTAAACCATAGTACATGTAATGATGAGTTTGCCAGATGGCCAGTTCAAGCCTATCACTATTAACACAGCAGTGAAAACAATTTTGTCAACTAAAACAATTTTGACAATCTGTAGCATAACATTTCACAAGGAAAGCGTGACATCGCATTGTGGTAGTGGAGACTGGGCCTAAACTGGCAATATGGGAAATTAAAATGTCTACATTAAAGAAGGGCCTTTCTGATAATCAGCTGACCTGCTTTAGTTCTTAAAATCAGTTGTTAAGTCAGATGTACTTAAGACCTCAGTTTTATTATATGGAATGCCTACATCTCCAGCACTTTCTCTTTTACGTACCAACAATTTCCTCAAAGCTCATTATTTACTCAATGGCTAGACATTTGTACCTGAATATGGACTAACAACATAAATTTACACAAGTTTGGGTATCAACGCACTGTGACCTCGACAGACCATGAAAGGATACATTACAATAGTGCTGTCTGCTAAAGCAGATAGAAGTATTTTAAAGTATATAGGGTCTGGCTAGGGGTCCAAAACAATGTGGACCGGCCAGTCTCAGATAAGCTATTGGTGTTATTTTTGCCAAACAATGAACCTAAAGTAACACATTCTTATCACAGGTTCCACTTTTGTGAGGCTGCTGTGCCCTATCCATTGTGTTACTTGTTAGTGCAAGTCAACCGCCGGGCCTCTATTGTGCCCAGCAGTGCTGTGTGTACCCTCAGAACCTTAACCATGCACACACTGGCATCCCAAGTAACCCTATTTTTAGCATTCCCTACCATCATAGATAAGGTCTATATCCCTTTCATTTCATAGTCTAATGCTGTACATTTGAACAGTTAGGTCTGCAAAACCTTTTACAAAGTGTTTCCCATTGGCTTACGGAACATCTATAATGGACTTTGGTGGAACTTTGATCTAACACATGTGGAGGACAGTGAAGAAAACAGAGAAAAACAAAGTTTAACACGTCACTTTTTTTTCAAAATCTAAACCTGCTTTAGAATTAATTGAGGGGAATTTATTAGAACTGGAGCAGACAAAAACTGGAGCAGCTGTGCACGGCAACCAATCAGCTTCTCTCTTCAGTTTGTTCAGTAAGAATATGAAAATGAAAGACAGAAGCTGATTGGTTGCCGTGCACAGGTGCTCCAGATTTTGCCTGCTCCAGTTTTGATAAATTCCTCCGTCTGCCTCTTAAATAAAATCCTCATAAAATCACATTAGTGACATAAGTTTCCAAGAGGTTCTTTGGTTGCTGGTCAGTGTCTGTAAATGCCACAGGCATACAGCTACAGGATAGGGTACACCACAATGTAAACTGACTACTCAACAACTTGTCTTTAAAATTTACAAACTGGACCTCTATTACATGCTTTGATTGCACAAAGGCAACAACAAAAATCTCCCTGGTTGTAGCTAGCTTGTGCATTTGTGATTTACCATTCTTCTACAAACAAATATAAAACAATTATTATTTTATTTCAACTGTCCTGTTCCGTGCTAACTATATGTAACATAAAATCAAGCTATTGACATCTACTGGTACTAGTAGCTTATAGGACTGGTGACGATCATGATTTTGATAGGTGAAGGGGGTATAGAGACACACTAGGCAACTCAAGTTGGTCGATGTGTCCCAATACCCCCTTCACCTATCGTAATCATTGCTAGGTCAGTGATTATAAAAACTATGGTGGTCAGTGATCATAAAAACATTAAAAACCCCCGCCCTACAGCATCTCTTGCCTGGCAAGTCTGCCAGAGCCTGTTCAAAGGGAACACCTAAACTTACCAACAGGAAAACAGAAGTAACAAATATGGCTGCACATCGATTCCTAATGAGCCGGGGAACTAAACTTGAGTACACATAGGGGCGAATTTATCAAAACTGGAGCACACAGAATCTATAGCAGCTGTTCATGGCAACCAATCAGCTTCTCTCTTCAGTTTGTCCAGTTAGGGCTTGAAAATGAAAGAGAGAGGCTGATTGGCTACAATGGGCAACTGCTCCAGATTTCATCTGCTCCACTTTTGATAAATTCCCTTTAAAGTCTTTAGCTCATGACACCCCCTGACACGCTCACAAGTACTCAGAAAAAGCATGCAAAATGCATCAGCGATGGCACTGGGCATGGTGGCCATTTGTACTTGCCTACATTTTCCAGCGCATGAATCGTGAGTGAAACATGTCAGAGAATGGTGCTATAGGGAGGACACCATGTTGAGTGAAGTTCTCAGCACATGAATCAACAGTGTGCAGCTGTAATTTTTATTTCACTTCCATCTTTTTTGAATGCGATGCTTATTGCTTATTATAAATATCAACAACAACATCCTACCGATAAAGCAACACAGGAAATACACAAGGGCATGCAAGCCCAAATTCTTCAGGAGGTGGACAAAACTTTTACAACTTCCCATATTCGGAACACAACTAATAATTATCATTCCACGATTCATGTCAGAATAAGTGATAACAATGTCATGACTATGCTGAAAATAATCCAGTTCTAGCGAGAAATGAAAGGAATTATTTTTTAGGTTGTTAACAAGGCAGTTCAGATACTGTGGCTGATTGATTGAAGGAGTTAGGAATCCTCATTTAATAAATTGTGTGAATCTTCACTTGGGTTATCCAATCATGTGAAAAGCAAATTTCGGCTTACGTATTTCTTCTGCACATGATTCGGCATTCAAAGTGAACTGGAATTTGCTTTACACATGATTGTGTAATTTAAGTGAATATTCACACAATTGATTGAGTGAAGGTTCTCAACTACTCAATGTCCGGCTTTTAGTGTTGGGGGCAAACCAATGAACAGTGACTATTTAGTCCCTTGAGTTTCAGGGGTGATAATCTCATACAGTATATAGAGATACATGAGCAAGAAAGCACATACACACAACATCAATGGTACACCAAGCTCTCCAATGCATACAAGGCAAGTCACAGCTCACAAAGGACTTGTGCCTTGGAGGTTCTGACATGGTGCTGGCATTACAAATCGATTAACCCGGAAATATTTCATGATGACCACTTCATAAGCGCATACTAACAATGTAAGCAGAAATAACAAAATGCATGAAGAACAACACAAACTCAACCATAAGCACTAATGCAGTTTTGGATGTGTAGAGATCACAACTGGCTGTTTTATTGATATTCATATTTGTCGAATGCGAAAAATTGTCAATCATCAGTACATGTTGGTGAATTGATGACCATTAGCGAGGACATAAACAGCGAAACGTGTGATTGGTGTTTCCTGTCAAATTTTTGTATTTTCTGTTAATAAATACAAACGGCCGTATGAAGTTCTTGTCATTTTTTATTGCCAGGCTCTGTAACTCGTGATGAACAAAAGGCTTACCCTCTAGATTTGGTGGCATGCTTCCAAGGGAAAAATTCCCCTCCTTCATATAAACCAGCAATTCTTCTCCGGGCTCAATATCTTTGATAACGTTATAAAAAAGCTGTAAGGAAAAAAAAAAATGATACATAGAAATTAGGGTCGTAGATGAGTGATGCTGTAGGCTCTAGGTCATAAGGGTTAGGGTTATTCCATCTCTGGTGACCCTCAAGAGATTTCTTTTGTTTTTCACTCAAGATTTTTAAACACTGTGAATAGCAGCACCAACTTATGTCAAGGGCTTACAATGGGGAACAATGGGGTATTATCAGACAATTCCAAAATGTCAAATTGATCCTTGTTCTGCATTTATTGTCCTGAAATGATCTACTGCAGTCATTCCCATTACATACAATTTTTAAGGGCTGTATAAGACAACAGGCAATTCATATCTACGAGCCCGAGTAGTAAGCCATAAGATATGAATATTAAAAACAAAACAAAAACAAATTAAGTCTAATTGGAAACACTTACAAAGAAATTGTTACGTCACTAAAATATTGTATGCAAATACAATAGCCCTCTCTATAAAATGTACACATGCTTGTACTTTTAACCTCCCAATGAAATATCATTGCGTTACCATTGGCAGAACTGAACGCACAACGACAGCAAGAAGTCTTTTTGGAAGAGCAGACATCGCTCTTTGGATGCTTGGGCCATTTGCGCAAGGGTTAAAGCAATATGTATAGCTTAAAATTGAGTGTTGAAATTTTTAATGGTTGGGTATACAAGTCAGAGCGGTGTGCAGTGAGAAAGAATTCTGGCAAGGCTTAACTTTGGGCGATATTCCAGTTATAGTGTTAACATAAAAAAAAAGCAATGCACACAGCACACCCACTGGATCTTAAAACAGCGCTAGCCGATCTTTAATATCATATATGGGACCAAGGGTCAATGAACGACTTCAGTAATTTTTTGTAAATAAACTACAGCGTGCTTAAAGAAGAAAATAAAAAAAGGAGCTGTAATGCATCTGAAGGAACGCAGCCGAGGGAAAAAATAGCATTTAAAAAACAAAAATGGGCTGGATCTCACAAGCGACACTGCAGCTCGGGTTTTAAGTGGGAATACATGTGTTCCAAAGGAATCCTTAGTGGTTTTAATACATTTGCTCAGTGGCTAACAACTGTAGCAAATAAACCGACGTCCATAGGAGGCTTGTAAATGTTCTACAAATGTCATTTTTTTAAAAAAATATCGTATTTCCCACTTGCACATTTTTCGGTGCAGGAGGAAACGGGAAACTTAAAAAAATTAGGCAAAATCGTAAGGAAAGCTAAAAATGCAGCAACAGCACAGCCAACAGCAATTATAGTAATCAACTAATATTACTAAGTAGCAGGTACATAAAACTAGAGTGGGAAAATAAAACAAAGCAAAAATAACCTGTGCAATACTTTGCAATAAATATAAAAAAATTCAATAATTTTTTTATATATATATATATATAAAATGTAATTTTGTAAGCTTTTTTTTAACCCCTTTTTTTTATTATTTTCATGCACCTTTTCATCATGTTCCTACTTCTTTTGTTGACCCAGGCCTGATGGCAAAGGTGATAAATGCATTGATATATTTCTCAATACAGTCGGATACTTATTGGTGTTGCCAAGAGTGGATTTGCTGTATTTTAACGTCTTAGCGAAATAATAAACTGCTGTAATTAACACCTCTTACACCTGCTCCTATCATTCGCCAAGTTAACCTTTTAGGACCATTCGCTCCGGCTCGTGGAGCTAAACAACAAAACAATCCAGCGGAACAACTGCAAACTGTCAGCAGGGCCCGCACAGTGTGAAGGGTTAATTAAGATCCCCATAAGGCCAGGAATTTCATATGTTTCATGCCTGTGTCAGCCTAATACTCGAAAATACTGTATAATATCCCTACCAGGTGTGAAATTCTAACCAAAAGGCACAGGCTGCTCGATGGGCCACATGTCCGGCGTGACAACTACTGTACCAAAAAGGGACCATGTTAATCTTCAGGTGCCTGATAGTGGTGCAAAGGTAGACAAGGGGATAAACAACAACAACAAACACTGTGCAAAATAAATAAAAAATATAACAGCAAAAACATCTTAAGGAACTCTTTGTTTTTGGGTCGACCTTAATATTTTACTTATTTCAAATCTGGTTTGATATCCCCACACACAAACCCTGAAGCCAAGCATCAATAAAATGAGATACATTGTTTACTAAAAAATCAAATAGTAGAAAAGTAATTAGTAATATTACACCTAACGCAGTCCTATGATGATTTGCATATTTTTAAATGTTTTGGTTCACGGTATGAGTGCACCAGCAACATAACTGCTCTTCTCTAGCCTAGCAAAGTGCATTTGATGATGGAACTGGCGGTGGGGGTCTTGTATAAGGTAAGGTACCTAACACCCCCCTCCTGTACATGCTGCCCCGTCAGGGGGACCCCCCCCCCCCTTTTCCCCGGCAGATATAAGAGGTGCGCATGTGTGATCATTTTAATTGTTAATACCAACTTATAGCATCAACAAAGATCACAATACCCGACCAAGCAATCTACAGAAAGCATTTCCTAATTTTCTGACAGCAAAGATGTATCTCTATGTAGAGTGCAAAAACGCATTGCAAAAGGCAAAGGCTACTGGCAAGCATAAAAGGGCTCCATCATAACACAAAGGTTTAAAAAAGCCCAAGTCAAGTATAATGCTACTAAAGAGAAATACATCGTTGACAATGAGACAATTATGATATTGGCTGACAAGACCGGCCTTACCCTTCTACATGTTACCTTTTCTATAAACCCAAAGCGAACTAGTTGGTGAGGTTGAAAATAAAAAAGCACAATAGGCTGTCGAGTTCTGTCTATTCTTTATGTGTTCCTAACAGGATTGAACTCAACAGTTGCAGCTCCTGCTCTGTACCTCCTGCTCATTCACCGCGGCGTAGAATAGAATAAGTGGCATCTTCTAGGGTTTTTTTTATTAAAGACAAACTTTCTTGAACACACTCCTCATAATTTAACTCTGTTAATTAAGCTTTTTTTTAATGTCATGTGTACAATAAACGCTACCAAACACAAAATAATTGCAGCTAAAAAAATAACACATCCTTCTTATGAATTTTGTTTATAATTTATGTAGCAATTGGCAGCAACAATCGGCGACTAAAATGTATTCCACTTTCTAGCAGCTTCAGTTGGCATTACAAACAGGTGTTCCCAAGGTTAAAATAATTTAAAATAAAATGAATGAAACTGTCCAAGGAGGTTTTATAAACAAAATGAACAAATATAAAAAGGAAAATGAAAAAAAATATGAGTTTAAACATAACATTTTACAATTTAGTAAAAGATGCTGATAGACCTTGACGATGGTGCAAATAGTTTTAGAATCCCTACTGAAATATAATAAACCATACCAATGCAGGTCACACATCTTATATGTTCTTTAACGATGAGCAAATTCCTTACAGAATGTGTTAAATTTTTTGACAATACTTTTAAATATATTGACAGAGGTACAATTAATACAAATGAATAATAGACACATGTTTCTTGGTAATTAAAATGCTACTTGATTTATAATTTACATTCACGAGACTGCAATACTTCTTGGGCATTTGGTGTTCCCAAAAAACAAAAACTCATTGCAATAGCTATAGGTCTTAACTGGCAATGCTCTATATTAATATATGTTTGCTTTATTCTATCCTCTAAGAACCAAGGAACAAACCTACATATTAACTTAAGAAAATTAACTTGTATACATTTGTGACATCTTTGCCGTCATGTTTAATTAGATTTATTATAAAGCCTCATTTCATATCATCATATAAATCATAAATTATCATAAATAAAAAAACAGAATGTATTAAATAGCTACAAAATAAGGATTTAATTAAATCGGAAGCTAAAATCATAAAAGTAGATATATTTTTGACTGAATTGTTTATTAAAATGTTTTCAGCTATGCCACAGAGTGCTGTTGCAAAGCATGGCACAGTTAAACATATATTTATTGAAAAGGAGACTTTGGTGTTCTGTCCTACATACATTTTCTTGGATAACGAGTCATGTTTTATTTCCTCTATTTGAACAAGGTATTATAATGTCCGCTGTTAAAATTCTTCAGCAAGAAAACAACACGACGCAAGGTCACAATTCCGAAAAAAATAAAAAAATAAAAATCATAACTGCGAAAGCGGCGTGAATATATATTTAGAATATTTACAAAAATTGTCCAGGCTGTTTTCAAAGCACGTTGCCCGGAGAGTGCAAAGCACACCGTCTCGGCGGAGACCTCCAGTAGGGGGCGCTCTCTCCCCACAGATCGCCTCTCTCGCCCAGTCACCAAAACCTGCTGATCTGTTCACTTTAACACACGTTCAGTCCCGGACTATAGTTATTCAAGTTCATATTTTACACATCTTGTTAAATAATAAAAAATAAATCACATACAAGGCAAAGAAAGAAAAAATAATAATAAAAAAAAAGACATGCATCACAGGAGAACGAGATGTCACCCCCCCACCCCTTTAAATAATAAAAAAAAAAGCACGAGGGACCTTCCGTGGAAGTCGCAGCGAGAGAACTTTGCCAAGTCCGAGCAACAAACAGGAGATAGACACGAAATGCAGCAAAAAGTGACGGAACAAACACAGAACATGTCTAACCTTTTTCCTTTGTGTAAGGTGCACCAGTTCAGAGACCTGATTTGTAGCTTTCCAGTCTGCTACTATTCCAGTGTCTGATGTGTTAGTGGCAAACACCATCCTTCATGCATTAGTGACACACGCACAAGGGCACTGTGTAAGTGTGTGTCTACTTGTGTATGTGTGTGTGTGTGTGTATGTGTGTAAGTGTGCGTGTGCCAGGCCTGGAGATAGTCCCTGAACTATCCTAGCCTTTTGCATCATCACTTTATCTCTCCTGAGGTGGGGTTTCATAACAGATTATCCGACTCTCTCAATGGTTTGAGATCCCAGCCACAGACACTCCCCCTAATCTCATCTCTCTAGAGACCCTCCCAACATTATGTCTGTATCAGAGGCTACAACAAGCTGAAAATCAAGGGAGGAAAGA